TGTCATTTGTCATAAAATTTCAAAACACTCCAAATCGATTATGTGTAGCCTGTTTTACTGATGTTGATATTTGTAAGATTGGTTCAGTTATAAATATTTAGTGATTCCAGAAAGTTAGCGGTTATGTTTGGCTTCCAAAAACTGTTACAGAATATTCTGCAAAAGGGCGAACCGTATCCATTTTTTGGTTACTGTTTTATATTCTTTTACCTTTTATAGCTGTGTAAAACTTTTAATATACACTCAGAAAACTGTTGAAATTTTATCATCAATTAAATGGCTCTTCTAAATTAACAGCAAAAACTTTGTTTTCTTTTTTTTGATTCTAATATTCTAGTAAAAGTAAAAGAGGATTTGATGCTGAATTAATGAAACTAATTGTCGTTTAGTATACGTCCGTCTGTTGCATCCGAGAAGATGCTATACAACAGCATATAATTTAAATAACCATACAGATCAAAAAAATTTATTTAGCAGTCGCTTAAGAGGCTCAAATTGGTAAAGCTTTTTTTTTTTTTTTGAAACATTTTCCAGTACATTTTTTCCGTTTACAATTATTCCCGTCAAATACTCTAAATGACTCATTCGTTTTTATGACAGAAAATACCAGTATGACTATAAAGCGATTTTTCATCCAACTTTTCAATAAATAGGTTAAAATTTTGCTACCATCTATGTGTTCGTATAATTCTTCATTCTCTTCAGGATTTCATATGAACGACACTACAATAAGACAGCGATTTCCGACATGTGGAAGCCAATAGAATCTGAAGTCTCAACTCATTCCACTGAATATCAACATAACTACGGTGAACTAAAGAAAGTGGTTGATGATCTAAAAAATTTAATTGGAAAAATAACCGAAGGTGGAGATGAGGCAGCAAAATCAAAGCATAAAAAACGAAAAAAGCTGATGCCGCGAGAAAGAATTGAAGCTATATTGGACCCTGGATCGGCTTTCCTGGAATTCTCGCAACTTGCCGGTTACCAGCTGTATGATGAGGTAGTACCAGCCGGTGGTATCATTACGGGCATTGGTTTGGTAGCTGGAAGACTATGTATTTTTACTGCCAATGATGCTACCGTAAAAGGTGGTACATATTATCCTATAACTGTTAAAAAACATCTTCGAGCACAGGAAATTGCCATGGAGAACTTTTTACCGTGCATTTATCTGGTAGATTCTGGAGGTGCAAATTTACCAAGACAAGTAAGATAATTCTTCTTGATGAAATTTTTTATTTCAGTAATTTGTATGCGTATGAAAATGAAGAGAACACCAACTTTGTTATAAGGATATTTCTTCTTTGAAGGAAAGTAAAAAACAGTGCGCAGCAGTTGGTGAAAAAAATTTGAATTCTTCAAAAATTGTTCCGACCAGTTAATCTAACAGTCTAAGCATTTTAAAAGCCAGTATAATTCAAGAATTAAAAACTTATAAACTAAGCTTTAAGGTGATATGTAAGAGTACTACGTAGATGATTTTCAGGCTGAAATATTTCCGGATCGTGAACACTTTGGTAGAATATTTTACAATCAAGCAAATATGTCTGCTAAAGGTATAGCGCAAATTGCTGTCGTTTTGGGCTCATGTACTGCTGGTGGCGCTTATGTTCCCTCAATGGCTGATCAGTCAATTATTGTTCGTAAAAACGGAACTGTTTTCCTTGGTGGACCACCACTCGTCAAAGCAGCTACTGGAGAAGAAGTATCACTGTTTCTGAACAATTATTGTGAATCAAAGAGGTATCAAAATGGTTTATTTAATAAACTTAGAGTGAAATGGTATTTTAGACAACAGCCGAAGAACTCGGTGGGGCTGATCTTCATTGCTGCAAATCTGGTGTAACCGATTACTACGCATTAAATGAAGAAGATGCACTACAACGGACTCGAGCCATTGTCGCCGGATTGGGACCATACAACGAACTAAATCAACGGGATAGTATCACTTTTGAAGAACCGTTATATCCCGCTGAAGAGCTGTACGGTATTGTCGGGACAAATCTTATGAAACTTTTTAACATTCGAGAAGTTATTGCACGTATCGTTGATGGTTCTCGATTTGATGAATTCAAACAACGTTACGGTGAAACACTTGTTACTGGATTTGCAACAATCTATGGTAAATTAGTGGGCATATTGGGTAACAATGGTGTACTGTTCTCGGAATCCGCTTTAAAAGGAGCACATTTTATTCAGCTTTGCTGCCAACGTAAAATACCAATAATATTCTTGCAAAATATTACTGGTTTTATGGTTGGTCGTCATGCTGAAGCTGGTGGTATAGCGAAAAATGGAGCAAAACTAGTTACAGCTGTCTCTTGTGCTCAGGTCCCAAAGATCACAGTAATTGTTGGAGGCTCATACGGTGCAGGAAATTATGGAATGTGTGGTCGCGCCTACGCGCCAAGATTCTTGTATATGTGGCCGAATGCAAGAATATCAGTAATGGGTAGTGAACAAGCAGCAAATGTATTGGCACAAGTGCAAAAAGATAAGCGTTTGAAAGAGGGTAAAGATTGGACCGAAGAAGAAGAGCAGCGATTGAGAGAACCAATATTGGAAAGATTCGGGAAAGAGTCTCATGCGTATTACGCTTCAGCTCGTTTGTGGGACGACGGAATCATAGATCCGGTTGATACGAGACGTGTACTTGCTCTTTCATTACAAGCCGCTCTCAATGCACCATGTCCCGAAACCAAATATGGTGTATTTAGGATGTAATCTGATAGGAAGCTGTTGCCGAAAAGAATCAAGAAAACTCGATTTGTTAGAGAAGTTCAGAAATTTTTATAGCATGAAAAAATGATTGATCTATGATGCTTCCTTTCTTCCTCTCTTCTTTTTTTTTCTGATCATTAGTAATATAAAACCGGATGTCTAAGTTAACCTAGTCTGTTCTCACTGTTTGGCTATCTACTATTATGACTGCTTTTCTTAGCCGTCGTTTAAAAACTTGCTCATGTTCTATACGCAGCGGTGAACAGTGGTTCCAGAGCATTGATCTTTTGCCTACCCATTCACTTAAACCGTCATATACCTCTAGAAAGTTACGTTTAATTCCTTTCAGTTAGTAGCTAACGACAGGTTTCGTTCTAGATGATTGCCACTATTATTATTTATTTTTAGTTTTCTTCCTCGTTAGCAGATTTACTGCTTTTCGAATATTACTGGAAGTATCCAATAAATATTTCAATAACCTGAACAATGAACACTTTTTGAAAAAGCTCTAGTATTTAACTCAGTTGGTGTTGGGTAAACAATGCAAAAAATTCCCGAAAAGTAACCAAGTTAGGGTGAGAGACTGAGGACTTACACCATACGCAGAATGAAGTACACATTTTTGCGGCTTCAAGGAAACCCCGTGTAAAATGATTATTACTTAATACTTAAGCTGATAGCAACTATGTGAAAAATATTCAGGAATTGATCTGAACAGCTGTGTTCAGAAATCTATAGGCAACCATTAATTTTATTCATTGATCACAGATCAACGCTAGCCAATTCGCAAAGTAAAGTTGACGTTTTTTAGATCAGATTAAGGACCATACATAATTTGGATGTACCAAACAAATGACCCATTTTTTTAGAATGGTTTAAAGGAGCGTTGTTAACAATTTTTCAGATGGAGGTACGTTGTGGAAGAGTAACTAAAAACTCGTTAATATAGAAGTACAAATATTAGATCAGTTAAAAAGCACCGAATTTGCTGGGAGCGTGCCGAGCAGTGCGGAACAATTACTGTTATCGCAGACTACGCTTCGAGGAATTCAGATATTGTAGCTGTTTTCAAAGACTGGTTGCAATACCCACAGATCGTTGATCTCTGAAACGCTTGCTGGTTCAAGTCCATGAAAAATAGTTTTTTTTTGGCTGGTAAACTACACACCAAATTCGATACACTCGCGCTAATCTAAGGGGAGAATTTCAGAAGCAGTTTATAAATATCAAAGCTTCATTTTCAGCATCGGTCGTCTAAAAACGGTTCAGTTTGTCAAATTCTGTTTGCCTGTATCTTGCGGGTAATAGGTTTAGAAACGTCATATAGCTTCCAAAGTTCTCACTAGCGAACTAAATTTGGCCATTTAACAGCTTTTTGCATGGAGATAACCTGCTTTGATAGCTGAAATTCTGATGTTTTAAACGAATGCAAAACTACAATGG